GCGAGAAACGCATGTTTTGCATCGCTTGCCACCCTCCTTTTGCATGCAGCAGCGAGTCTGTCACCTGCCTGCTCTGCACTCGGCGTTAATTAATTTCCAGTAAAATGAAAATTAAACACACTTTACAAAAAAATCTCGAGCATGAAACAAATCTGTGTAGACTTTAATTTGACACATCATAAAGTTTTTCAGGCAAGACCAGGAAGACAGCCTCTGATTAATCTAATATGCAAATATAAGCCTGTTAGCAATTCATGCTATCAAATATGAATAAGACAATGACAAAACTGAGGTTTATTCCTGGGTGATGTGAAGCAATCCATCTCAGTCCTTAAGAAATACTCAGGCAGTCACTGGCTCTGCTGATTAAAAACAAAGAGGGGTTTTCAGAAGGGAATCTCAGTGTTTACAAAGAGAATATGTGAAGACAGTGTGTCCGTAGGACAGGTCAGAGCATCTTCTTTGTCCCATTTGCAAAGGACAAGCAACAGGACGTGAAAATACGTGGCTGCGCAGGTGAGAGGGGTCTTTGCTTCCAGCCTGAGTAGAGGTGGGTGCTCTAGGACAGCCAGGGTCCTGGTTAGGAATTGGCTAGGAAAAAAAAGAGAAGAAAAGGAAAAAGTAGGATTGAAAATCTGCTATGGAATTTATAGCATTTTGCATTCCATTTTCCTTCATCGGATGAAAAGGATTTTACCTCTTTTTTTATTGCTGACTGATGGATGTTAGTCTTGAAATCTTTCCCTTGAACAGCTTTGAATGCCCGCGGCTGTAATTTTGGCTTCTTCATACTCCTCCACTTTCTGCCCCTGGCCCACAGCAGAGTGGCAGTGGTCTCCCGTGGCTGCGCTGGGTTGTGGGGTTACAATTCCTGCCAGGAGCCCTGAGTCAGTTCGTGCTGCTCCGCGGGGGGGTCGGGGCTCTCCCGCACCAGTCCTGGCGTCGATGGTGTTTTACCTTCAGTGCTGCTCCTGTCCCACACACGGGGTGTGCCCGTTCTGTACTGAAAGGCTCCGTGTGAATGTCCTGACAATTTTTGACGCATTCAAAATATTAAAAAATGCAACATTAGAAACAAACAGACAAACAAAAAAAGTCAAATAAACCATGACAATCTTGAAAAAATGCACCACTGAAGAGTCAGCAGCACGCAAGGCTTGGACACCCACACAGGGATGGAGCAGGATCTTCCAACACAGGGACTGATTTTCCCTCTTGGTAGCACAAATTCTGCTGTGAGGGGGATGCTGTGGGCTCCCCTTGCCAGCGTAACCTTTCTACCTCCCTTTTTCACTAAGTTTGAAAGGCTAAGGAGTGCATGTGAAGCATGGGGAAATGAATCAGATCTGAATAAATAATTTTTTCCTAGCACTCCCTCTGTGTCCAGAAATTTGAGTTCGACCTGCCCTTGTCTGCCCCTCACAAGGTATCGCCGTGGCTCTGGCTCGCAGGCAGGGCAGGTGCGGACTGGCAGCCCCGCCAGAGTTCATCTTTTCCTTTTTTCCCCCCAAAGTGGCTCACCTTGTAGCCATGGCAACTCCCTGCCAGGTGCAGACAGGCCCTGGAGCTGGTGCTGCCTGCAGCTTCTCACCCACCATGAGCTGGAGCATCCCTTTGCGGGCTACAGCAACCCTTCATGGGCCAGTACATCCCTTTGTGGGCCAGTACATCCCTTTGTGGGCCAGTACATCCCTCTGTGGGCCAGCACATCCATTCATGGGCCAGTACATCCTTTCATGGCCACAGCATCCCTTTGTCTGCATCCCTTCATGGGCCCTTCTTCCCTTTTTGGGCTGCAGCAGCCCTTCATGGGCCAGTACATCCCTTTGCGGGCCAGTACATCCTTCATGGGCACAGCATCCATCCGTGGGCCACAACATCCCTCTGTGGGCCTCTGGATCCCTTTGAGGGCCAGTACATCCATCTGTGCGACACTGCATCCATTCATGAGCTGCAGGATCCCTTTGTAGGCTAGTACCTCCTTCCGTGGGTCAGTACATCCCTTCGCGGGCTCCCACACCCCGGGTGCAGGCCCAGAGGCGCTGGCCAAGACTCCCCGTTGAATCTGAGCAGGGGGGTGCGTCCATTCTCCTCTGAAGGGTCGTTACCAACATTGGGGTTCGCTGCTGCCACAAACAGCCCTGTCCCACAGCACATGCTCTCTGTCTCCAGAACTCTCCCGGTGGGATGTACATTCTGGGGTGAAAAGGGGATTTGATCCTGCTTAAAGGCATTGAAGGGATGGAGTCACACAGCCTGGGATTTTGCTCCCAGGCATTTCACTGTTGTTTGTTATTGCAGACATTTGTTATACCCTGCACTGGTCGGGTTGTCTTTTAACGTACCTTGTCATTATGGCAGCAACCTTCCTGAGTGAAAGTTTCTTAATGGAGATTTCTTAATGGAAACCTTTAATTAAGGCTTCCAATACTTTTCCTTATTCATACAGGCAGCCCAAACCCTTCCCTTCCCTTCCCTTCCCTTCCCTTCCCTTCCCTTCCCTTCCCTTCCCTTCCCTTCCCTTCCCTTCCCTTCCCTTCCCTTCCCTTCCCTTCCCTTCCCTTCCCTTCCCTTCCCTTCCCTTCCCTTCCCTTCCCTTCCCTTCCCTTCCCTTCCCTTCCCTTCCCTTCCCTTCCCTTCCCTTCCCTTCCCTTCCCTTCCCTTCCCTTCCCTTCCCTTCCCTTCCCTTCCCTTCCCTTCCCTTCCCTTCCCTTCCCTTCCCTTCCCTTCCCTTCCCTTCCCTTCCCTTCCCTTCCCTTCCCTTCCCTTCCCTTCCCTTCCCTTCCCTTCCCTTCCCTTCCCTTCCCTTCCCTTCCCTTCCCTTCCCTTCCCTTCCCTTCCCTTCCCTTCCCTTCCCTTCCCTTCCCTTCCCTTCCCTTCCCTTCCCTTCCCTTCCCTTCCCTTCCCTTCCCTTCCCTTCCCTTCCCTTCCCTTCCCTTCCCTTCCCTTCCCTTCCCTTCCCTTCCCTTCCCTTCCCTTCCCTTCCCTTCCCTTCCCTTCCCTTCCCTTCCCTTCCCTTCCCTTCCCTTCCCTTCCCCCTAATGAGGAGCTGCAGCTCCAGAAGCCTCCGCGTCGCTCCCCGGGGATCTGTCCTGGCTGTGCTGGAGGAGGAGGCAAGGCTTTCCAGAAGGCAGCAGAAAGGGCTGTGCAGGAGCCTCGGGTCTGCATCGCCCACAGCCTGCGGTGCTGGTATCTCTGCATCGGGCACCCACCGCTGGGGTTCACACCGAGCTCTGCTTCTGATGCAACAACATCCCCGGAAAAGGGCAAATCTCCGGAGTCACACATCCGTTGTGACAGTAGAGATGGGAAGAGGGCACTGCACTGGTTGGAAAAGAGATGACAGTAATAAAACAGATAACAATCCGTAGGGCGATGTTGTATCAGTCCAAAAGTGGGAGCCTGTGGGCTGATTATCAGAGCCACCACGCAGAGCAGAGGGGACGTGTGACTTCTGCCATGGCTCTCTTTGTGTCTTGTCGAGGTGGACAAATGAATCATGGAATCGGTTAGGCTGGAAATGGCCCTTGAGATCATCGAGTCCAACCGTTAACCCAACACTGCCAAGCCCAGCACTAAACCCTGTCCCTACGCCACGTCTGCACGTCTGTTACACACCCCCAGGGCTGGTGACTCCACCACTCCCCTGGGCAGCCTGTTCCAACGCCTGACAGCCCTTCTGGGGAAGGAATTGTTCCTAATATCCCATCTGAACCTCCCCTGGGGAAACTTGAGGCCATTTCCTCTCATCCTGTCACTTGTTACCTGGGTCAAGAGACTCATCCCCCCTCTCTGCCCCCTCCTGGCAGGGAGTTGCCGAGGGCCAGGAGGTCTCCCCTCAGCCTCCTCTTCTCCAGACTGAACCCCCCCAGTTCCCCCAGCCGCTCCCCAGCAGACCTGTGCTCCAGACCCTGCCCCAGCTCCGTCGCCCTTCTCTGGCCACGCTCGAGTCACTCAATGGCCTTTTTGGGGTGAGGGGCCCAGAACTGAACCCAGTACTCAAGGTGCAGCCTCAGGACAGCACTCCCACCCAGCGGGTCCACTCGATCCCCTCATCCACATCATCTATGAAGAGATGAAACAAAACTGTCCCCGATACCCAGCCCTGGTTTTGCAGCAGATCTGTCACTGCCCCAGCCAACTGTCACAACCAGTACAACATCTGGACTGGCTGACCACACAACACCAGTACCCGCTGCCAGGGTTGCCCGTGTCCAGCGGGCGTAACAAGGAATAGTTGGCGTAACCGCTTTGCCTGAGCCATTAATGCTCTTCATTAGCAAGTGATCTCTGCAGCTAATGAGCCGTCTCCGGAGGGCTGGTTTATTAACGAAGCACAGGTCAGGGCTCTGTCACTAAGGCTGCGTCGCAGGTTCCTTTCAGCTTTGGCTGTGTAAGAAAAACACCGTGATTAAAGCTGCTGCACGCGGCCTCACAGCAGTTTTCGGGCTGGTTGACTCATGAGTTAAGTAAGCTGGGTTTTAATGAAGCCTAAAACCCATACCAGGAGGGGAACAGCTCCTGATTCTCCACTCTTGTCGACTCACAAGTTAAATAAGCCAGGTTTTAGTGAAGCCTAAAACCCAAACCAGCAGGGGAACAGCTCCAGATTCTCCACCTTGTTGACTCACGAGTTAAATAAGCTGATTTTAATGAAACCTAAAACCCAAACCAGGAGGGGAACGGCTTGGGATTCTCCGTCCTGTCACACACACAACTAGTTTTAAGCTTTAGTTTCCCAGCCAAATGTGCCCTGGGGTGGGTAGAGCATGTAGGTGCTAATTTCTTAGAGAAGGTACTAAACGGGCACGTGGGTGGGACACCAGGGGCTTGTTTGTGCTCGGGTTAGGGAAGTTCCCTGAAAGCTTTCCCTCAGGGTGCGATTCCTGAAGGCAATCCCTGGGATCCCTCTGCTCTTGGAAGTGGATGGTGGGGTTTAAGGAGCTGGTGGAAGCGGGGAGGTAACCGGAGGGTGACCCAGGGCTGTCCCACCCTTCCAGGTGCGGATCCCGGCACTGACCTGCGCGGGACGGGGATGCTGGGCTTGATGCAGCTGCTCTACTTCGTCACGGACTCACAGACGCTGCCTCTGGCGCAAGAAATTTTCAAGCTATCCCAGCACGAAACCCAGGCATGTCCTTCCTTCTTTGCTTCCTCCCTGCGGTGGTACCTACCCGTTAATTCCTAATGCTCAGGGCAAGGGAAGCATGAAAATGTGTGGGTTTGGGCTGATTTTTTTTCCTTTTAATCCCCCTCACGCTGGTAAGGGGAGGAAGGTGATCCCCAAAGAGCTGAGGAGCTCCAATCAGAGTCTGAAGCCAAGCTCTAGGTGTTGGCTTTATTCTGGGAATGAAATGTTTAGTGTCCTGGTGGAGATCAGAGATTTGCTTCTGGGATCCTGGCTTGGAGCTGAACTCGTGCAGGTTAAAAGGGCTGGAGAAACAGGTGAAAAGTAGCGGGTGTGAAAACGGGGGTGAGTGGAGCCTGTCTGCTTAAAATTGGCGTTTTAGTCTTGGATATGGTTGGGTTTAAGCCTGAATGTAATCTCAGCTTGACCCACAGCATCCATGTCAGCTCGTATTCTTAGTATTATTATCCTGCTACGTGGGTCTGTTGCCTGCAGCCGCCATCCTATGGGTTTGGGGCCACTCGGATGTGGCGTAAAAGTGCTGGAAGTGTTGCCTGGGCACCTCCATGTGCCAGAAAAGAGACTTTTTCCATAACACTCATTTTCTTGCAGAATTTCCCCTTCTGCATCATGTCTGTGAACATCACCCACATCGTCATCCAGGCCCTGAGGGAGGAACATCTCTCCAGGTGAGGTCTGGGTGACTGACAGCTCCCTTAATCCAGGCTTTGGGGGTGGTTTTGGGGTCTCAAACAACATCTGTCGCTGGTTCTGGTGCCCATTGCAGGGAGTGCAATCGCAGGCAGCAGGTCATTGCCGTACTGAACAACCTGTACGCGGCAGCCTTTCTGCAGCTCTACCGTGTCTGGAAATGGCAGCACAAGACCGTCGCTGACTCCAGCTTCCTCCTAAAAGGTTTGTTTCCCCATGCTTTCCCCTCCTTTCCCTGCCAAGGAAAAACACAGTGCATTCCCAGAACGTTTGTGTCCTGCAGAGCCCAACCCCAAGGGGTGTAATGACCAGAAAGCCTCAACCATTACAGAATCCTCGGGGTTGGAAAATCCCCTGCAGCTCCTCCAGCCCAACCATGACCCCCCCAACTCCCCCAGACCCCTCAGCGCTGGCTCAGCCCGACTCTTCAACCCCTCCAGGGATCCCGGGGACTCCCCCCTGCCCCGGGCAGCCCATTCCAACGCCCAACAGCCCCTTCTGCACAGAAATCCTTCCTCAGAGCCAGCCTGACCCTGCCCTGGGCAGCTTGAGGCCATTC